CTCAACGGGTGAAGTCGTCGGCTGGAGGAGTAGACAAATACCACCAATGCGATGAATGGCCCAGCAAACAACGAGGAAGTCAAGCTACAGAGTGGTGAGTATTACAAGTTTATTATAGTTTTGAGGAACGTACCGAATTGACAGCCAAAACGCCAATGACCTTTTTTTCGGTAGTACCCTGATTCGGCGACCATCCAAGTTCATTGCACAAAGCTTTCGCCAAAGCGTTGACTTTCTCTCTGATTTCTTTAAGGGTATACTTCTTACCCGTCAAGGCGCAGATGAACGGTGCACGAACACTACCAGTGGCACGTCGGCTCTCGAGCGCCCACTCAGCAACGTTTGCATTGGGGGGGATCTGGGTTGTGATGTCAGGGACCCACGAGGGAGGTTGAAAGACCATCTTGACCGAGTGTTCAGCGTTGACCGCAGTGTCGGTATCAACTGTGGAGAACGTCGCTTCAGAAATGTTGACCCAACGGAGTTCTCTGCTAAATAGACGGAGACAGTGGATGAAGTCGGATAACAGATGAAGACCGAAGAACGATGCTCCATCGAATAGAGCCACGTCCAATTATAATAACAACATCCTACTACGAAAATGACTTTGTATAACCAGAATGTCACTGTCAGCTTGGGGATCGCGGGGTCAGAGGATTGTAGGATTGAAGGATCACAAGTAAGCACCTGGAGTCGAGGATTGACCAATTCAGCAACACTAATTATTAACGTTTCGCCGCACTTTATCTTACTTGAATCCTCCTGCAGAAAAGACACCAAGGTCTCGGGCTGTCAAGAGATAACAAACATGCCATTTTTCTGTATCGCTGGTAGAATGTGAATTGACACTCGGATCCTGTAATCCTCTGATCCTTGCCAGAGCCTCAGCACTCGTAAGCACTGAACGCAATTGGCTTCTGCGGCTTATATAGACTATTACATACCTACTGCGCCAACAATCTTAGTGGCACTCTCGCTAATTCCAACCCAAACACCGCCATCATGTTCTCCCCATCACCCCAAACCCTTGGCATCGTCGTCGCCGTTTTCATCCTAGCCACTCTCCTCATCCGCCGCGCCCTACTCCCCAAACCCATCCCCGGCATCGTCTACCGCGAAGCCAACGCCAAGAAGATCCTCGGCAACGCCTGGGAACTCCTACAATGGAAGAAAAAACACGGCGAAATGTTTGGCTATCTGGCCAATCTCGCTGTCGAACTCAACGAACCTGTGTTTCAGATCTTTGTGCACCCGCTTGGCAAACCATGGGTCATCGTGGCTGACAACCGCGAGGCTTTTGACATTTTGTCGAGACGGACACCGAAGGAGTTTGATCGCTCGAGGTTCTTGAGGAGTTTGTTCATGCCGCTTGTGCCCGAGTTTCACTTCCATATGCCGACTGGTGATCGGTGGAAAGCCCATCGGAAGTTGGTGGCTGATACCATGTCGCCTGCGTTTCTGGGTGGTGTCGCTGGGGCGCAGATGTGGAAGTCTACCATGAAGCTGATCGATCTTTGGAGAGTTAAAGAGCGATTGGCCAAGGGTCGGCCTTTTTCTGTATCGACGGATATTCGCAAGGCAGCTTTTGAGATCATCTGGGCTGCTACCTTTGGCTTTGACTCTGGCTCCACAAACGCTCAGACTGAGCTACTCGAGACGTTGCCAGAGTTCACCAACTTGGGCGACATGGACCATGAGGTCGAATTCCCCGTTGCATCAGATCCTCCAGTCTTCAAAGCAGGTCTTGCTCTCAACGACGCCATGAACATTGGTGTTCAATCGCTTGTACCAGGACTGCATTTGTGGTTGGCTTACAACCTAATGCCATCTCTACGTGCGGCCCGAAATCTCAAAGAAGCTGTCATCCAAGACGAGATCAAGAAAGCGATCAACAAATTCTCCAACCAGACCGATCTTAATTGGGAGGACCAGGGTAATCTGAAGCGACACATGAAGAGCGCCGTCGATATTGTTATCGCTCGAGAAATTGACAGTGCGCGAAAAGAAGGCCGTACACCCGAACTGATGAGCCGTACCGTCCAAGATGAGCTTTTCAGTTTTATGCTTGCCGGTAACGAGATCTTCACTCTGACTGCTTGGACCCTCAAGTTTCTCACTACACATCAGAATGTCCAGAAGAAGGTCCGCGATGAACTCAGGGAAGAGTGCAGCGCCGCTGTTGAGAGAGGCGATGCACCCACTGTTGCAGAGATCATGTCGGCTCGACTACCCTATTTCGAGGCCATGATTGAAGAGTCTACGCGATGTGGTTCAGTCACCCAGACCAACATCCGCACGACGATGCAAGAGGTCAATATTCTGGGTCACATGGTTCCCAAGCATACAGAGATTCTCATGTTGAACAATGGACCTGGAAGTTTCATGCCTCCACTATCCGTTGACGAAGAGAAGAGATCAGAGAGCTCAAAGGGAACGGCTGGTAAGATCGGACAATGGAACGTCAAGGGCATGAGAGACTTTGATCCAGAGCGATGGCTCGTCAAAGATGAAGAAGGACGATTGACGTTTAATCCTAATGCTGGACCGCGACATTCATTCGGTGCCGGTCCCAGGGCCTGTTTCGGTAAGTTTAGTGTATTGATACGCTGTAATTCAGTTACTAATCGATGTTATAGGTCGTAAGTGGGCTGCGCTGGAGGTCAAGATCATGATGGCGCTGATTGTTTGGCACTTCAACCTGGAGCCGACGCCCAAGCCGCTGTCGAGCTTTAAGCCTTTCCCTGGTGTCGCGCATCGGCCGGAGATGATATACTTGCGTTTATCGAATGTTTAGAAGGGCAAATTGGTATATATGATGTAGTGCTGCGAAAGAATATTAAAGATCATGGCAATTACAATCATGTTGAATTCAAAAATATTGTTACAGTGACGTGACGACCTTGGGTAGAATTAGGCTCGCATCCTCAGCGGGGTTCAACTGCTGTGTAGTGCCCCATTACAGTGAGTTTAGGCCATTTCATGTCCGTTCCTCAGTGGGTGGTGTTCAGGGACCGTCAGTACCTTAGTGAAATCTGGGTTCAGCATCTACGATAACAGCAACAAGACATAGTGACTTAGATACCGCACCCAAGACCGCAGCATTCAAATAAGTCGTGTGTTTTTGTTGGGCTATCACCTGTTAACTGGCCTCTCATTGCTTTGATTGCTTATAGGCTGGATCGATATCAATGGTCTGTAGCGGACAAGACCAACACCAATCGCAATCTCCCCTACGATCGATCCTGATCCTGCAATCCCGACGTCAGATCCTCCCGGCCTTAGAGTGCCCCAATTGCAACTCATAGTGAGTGTATGCCCCGCAGCCGGGACTCAATTGCGCCGCTGATCTTCAGAACTTGTAAGGCAATATGACAATAGCTGCACCAAGACGTATCATTCCCCTCAGTCATTTTCACACGTCAGTATCACAACTTCTGCCTCAATTAGCTTACGTCGGTTGAGCATCATTATGGCGCTCGGCTTGGGCAAGGTGAAAACATTGGGACTCAGTGTCCTGATCTTTGCGATTCTGGTCGCTGCATTTGACAAGACAGATGACGCCAGACACGGCTTCCAACTTCAAATTACAGGCGCGCGAATATTGGGGTTATTGATTGTCATATTCGCCGTATCAAACTTCAAGTCGATGCCGTTCGTTTGGACAGTAGGTCACCCATTTTGTCCTCTTACTACTGGTCACACGCTGACAAGACGAGCAGCTTCGCGTTCTGTACACAATCTCATATCACACAGTCCTCCGCAAATCACCACAGTTGGGCCCCAAAGCGCTCTTCAAGCCTATCATCGCCACGACTTCTACGTCCCTCCTCGAAGTCGATTACTATCTTCACAAGTCCAACTCGACATACTTCGCCGACCTTGATGTTTGTCGTGCGCATTTAATCGCTTACCTCTTCAGACATGGCTTCCATCGATTATCCAATAACACCACGCTTGGGATTGTTCTTGACCCAAAGACTGGTGCACCGATGGGCGGAAGACTCGGGATAAATCTAGGTGCTGTCGAAACCTGCTTCCGACGTGAAATCACAGCGTTTAAGCAGGTTGAGATGTGGAGTTATGTCTTGACCTGGGATCGGAAGTGGTTATACATCGTCACGCATTTCGTGCCAAAGGGTACAGCGCTTCCGACAGAGTGGCTTGATCCACGGTTTGCGAGAACAGCGACACGGCCGCTGCTTGAAGAGTCTGACCCTTTCAGTAAGAAGATATACGCAACTGCTCTGAGTAAGTATGTTTTCAAGTTGAAGCGTCTAACGGTGCCGCCATCGACTGTGCTGGAGGAGGCTGGTCTGTTGCCGACAAGGCCGGGAGGATGGGCGATTGGCGAGCAGGGCCTGGAGGCAGTGGAGCAGGAAGTTTCGAATATCGGTATTTGTAAGAATGGCGAGTGGGATTGGAGACGGGTTGAAGTTCAAAGGCGTAGGGGAATTGAGTTGATCAGTAAGCCGAACCATCTTGACTTGATCCACGATGGCTTCGATGGCGGTAGTGATGGAGCAATTGGACGTTTTAGCCCAGGATAGATAACCACTCTAATGACATGTCTATTCATCCTCAAATTGACCGAAACACTAATAGAGAATAAATTACCTGATAATGGAAAATGCACATGCCAACTGCCGTCAGACATGCAAACAGTAATGGGCTCATGGCAGGCCATCTTTGTGTTGGTAAACACAGTGGAGACCCTAGCTTCAGTGGCTTAGCTCTCAGAACCACCCGTAGCGCGCCGGGCTGTTCATGGTTTTAGGGCAGAGAGCTGCTGGAACATCCGAAGCTGCAGCAAGGCACCGACAAAGATGGACATGGAATGCCTGACGTGTATGATTCAACAGAAATAAAGAAAGTTTCTATGAAAGAATGGTCAATCTAATTTTCTAACTCAAGAAATAGCATCAAAGCCAACTCGAAACTCCAAACTCCAGCATCAATATTCTCAAAACAACTAACGCTAGGAAAATTATGCTTTATCAATCTCAAGCCTGGATGCTCTTCAACACCTCACAAAGATCCTCCATCAATCCCTCCACAACCTCCGACGGAATAACATCCTCCGAGTATCCCGCCACAATGCTCATCTCACTACCCTTGGGCTCAACTGTGACCCAAACATCCGTGACATTAGGCGGCACAACAGTGTAGTCAACACTACACTCAGCACCATGCATGCCAAAGCTCTTCTGAGCCTCAGGCAGATTCTGGTACTGCAGAATAGAAGAGAAACGAGGCACGTCTATAGAAGTCGGCCAGTTTGTGCACTGTCGGAAGATGGTCTCCCAGCCGAGATGTTCATGAGGTAAAGCCGAGATGTGCTGCTGATGGACTTGTTGAAGAATGGTAGCTTGGGGTTGAGCGGTGTTGACGCGGATTGGGATGAGGTTGACGCATGGACCGTTGACCTTTTCGATGTCGTCGATTGGTAGAGAGCGACCTGATACGAGGTGTGCGAAGACAACGTCGGATGTTCCGGTTGCTTTGGCGAGGACCATTGCCCAAGCGGCCTTGAGGTACGATGACACCGTGAGTCCTGACCCTTCAACCTTTGGCGATGGCACCGTCTTGACGATATAAGAGCCAGTCATAGCCTTGCTTGTTTGCGAAACACCAAGGAGACCAGTCATACTCGAGCCTTCCAGCAAATCGCCCCAGAACTTCATCGCGGGCTTGGCATCGATCCCCTTCAAAGCATCAGTGTAATACGACATCTGTCGCGGCGCTTCAACCTCAACATCAGCTTCACCCCACGCCTGAAGCTGCTGGAAGAAAATCGGCAGCGACATGCCATCGTACTGCGCGTGGGAGATCCTAATCACAAGACTGTCCTTTTGCTCGCCTTGAACGAACCATGTCTTGAAGGGGGGCTCGTGAAGCTCAAGGTGTTTCTTCTGATCTTCCTGGATGAGAGATTTGCAGAAGGTGGATAGGTCGGTGGAGGCGATGCGTTCTTCGAAGGGAACGCTGAACGTGTTGAGGATGGCTTGATAGGACTTTCCGTCGTGTTGGGTGAAGACTGCTCGGAGGATTTCGTTCTTGTCAACTGTGGTTTGGAGCGCTGTGTGGACGCGCTGCTTGTCGACCTTTTGGTTGTATGTAACCGTCGCGTGCATGAGCCATCGACCCTGTGTATGTTCATGAAGGACAAGAGACTGGAACTCGGTTGTTTCAAGGATCCTTTCAACGCCGAAGGTGCTGGGAAGGGAAGCTTTGATTGCCTCTTGCGTTGACTGTTCGATTGCCTCAATATGATGGCTTGTTGCGTCGTGTAAGTGCGTAGCTTGCTCGAGATGTGCAGCAAGTTCTCTCAAGACTGGGCTCTGGAAGATCTGAGCGACGGTCATCTCGAGATCAACTGCTCTAGCAGCTGCGACGAGCTGAATGGCAGCAAGTGAATCTCCGTTGAGATGAAAGAAGTTGTCGCTTGCGCCGATTGACTCCACAGGTCGTCGGAGCACCTGGCTCCAAAGATGCTGGAGCTTCTTCTCCATGTCTGTCGCGACAGGAGCCGATTGAGCGCCTCTCGTAAGGCGATACTCCTCCAATTTACCACCATCCATATCCTCCAGCACAGCAGTAATTGCCCGGCGGTCAAGCTTGCCTGATGAGTTCACCGGCAACTTACCCATAGGAATAAGGAAATCGGGAATCATGTACTGAGGCAACACCTCAGCGAGCTTGAAACGAATCTCCTCAGAAGCTTTTCGCAGCGTCTCTGAGGGAGCCAATACTCCATCTCCAACCTCTTCTCCAACTTCCACCGCTACTGCGATTGTCGGTCTATCCTCCCTCTTAACAAACACAGCCGCAGCTGATCTGATGTCCTCCGATGATTGTACCACTGAGTACTCAATCTCTCCCAACTCAATTCTCTGACCGCGAATCTTGACCTGTGTATCCCGACGACCGAGATTGGTGTATGTGCCATCGTCGTTCTGCTGAACCAAGTCGCCAGTGCGGTACATGCGATGTCCGCTGCCCAAGCCGTAACGCGCTGTAAAGCCAGGGTCTGTGATGAACGCGCCATCTGTTTTGGCTGCATCGTTCAGATAGCCCTGCGAGACCTGAGGACCTTCAATGAGAAGTTCACCCGGGGCGCCGATTGAGCAGAGTTTGTTGTAGTCATCGGGATCAACGACCCAAACACGACAGCTTGGTAGAGGAGAGCCGAGTATGTTGGCCTGCTTCCTGTCCGTGAATGGAGTCGCTGACACGATTGCGTAGATGGAGCATTCGGTTGGGCCGTATCCACCAAGAATGTCTGCGTGGTGGTCCATCCACAAGTCGAGAACTGATGGCTTGACAGGTTCACCAAGCAAGACGACCGTGTTGATGTTCGGTAGCTGCGACGGCTTGAGAAGCTCAGCAACCGTGGGTGTGATAGACAGGAAGTTGACAGCCCTTTCAATGATGAAATGCTGCAGATCACTCATCCTCGCATCTTCAGAGGGCACGCAGACACATCCTCCAGCAGACAGCGTGGTGAAGATCTCTTGGATAGTAGCATCAAAGGTATGTGCTGCGAATTGAAGCACTCGTGACATCTTGGTGAGACCAAAGACCTTCTTTTGACTGTCCAGGCTAGACGAGATACCGGCATGAGTAAGAACCACGCCCTTTGGTGTACCTGTGCTTCCGGAGGTATACACGATCCAGGCTGGTTGATTGACATTGATCTCGGTGACGCGAGTATACCATTTGTCTGGGATGCCAACATCACTGAAAGAGACCCTCTTGCGCAGCGACTCATCAACAGTGAACATCGTCAAGCCCAAGCCATCCAGTCGCTCAGTCTGCTTCTGATCAGCTAGTACAACGCTGACCTTCGCATCATCGACAATGAGTTTAATACGTCCAAGGGGGAGTTGGACTCCTAGTGAAACGACGACACCGCCGGCGCGTAAGATGGCGAGCATTGAAACAGCAGCCCATTGGGACTTATCCATGCAGACGCCAACGCTGGTGCCGTGACGAACACCAAGACTAACGAGATGGTCAGAGAGTTTTCCAGAGAGATGCTTGAGTTGCTTATAGGTGAGCGTGCCGTCCCATGCGCTTATGGCTGTTGCGTCGGGTTGGTGGGATACCATGTCGAAAATGAGGTCGTGAACGCAACGATCGACGCTGGGGATGGGGCCGCTGTTGATAGAGAGAATGCGATCCAGGTCTTGAGGACTCAGAGTGTCCATGTCGGAGAGCTTTGTGCCTTCGGGTGCACTCTCAGCTTGCTCCAGTTGACTGGCGATATGAGCAAAGGACTGCAACATGTGCTGCATCTGGGCAGTTGAAATAACAGCGTCGTCGAATCGGGACTCGATTGAGATGCCCTTTGACCCGATGCTGCACTCTACGGTAAGCGCGTAGTCATCGAATTGCTCAGACATGTCCTGTCGGTGCACAAGACCAGGGAAATCGGCTGATGCATCGTCGCTCTCTGCAGCAGGCTGAACGGCAAAGAGGTGCTGCATGTCAAGCGCAGCGGCTGCGTCGGGGACAAGCTCTGCGATGCGCTGTAGGCCAGTGTGCTCGAAGGGAATCATTTCTGTCGCCTGCTGCTGCACCTCTTGAAGGAAATCTCGAGCATTGGTGGATGAATTGATGCGCATCCTCACAGGCACAGTTGTGATGGTTGGCGCCAGCATCTCAGTAATCCCATGCACAGGCGCATTTCTTCCCGACAGCGTGACTGCAAAAACAACATCATTACTACCGGAATACCGCGCAATCATGAGCGCCCAAGCAGCACGCAACAGATTTGACGGCGAAACCTCAGACTTTCCATTTCTCACAAAGTCAAGACTCTGCACGAGTTTCTGTCGCGGCTGAGGCTGGTATCGCACGGAGGGCAGAGCAGGGAATGCAGTCGGGTTACCCTGAAGCTGCTCACGCCAATAGCCCGCTGCTTGCGTAGCATCGGCTTGGCCTAGATAGGCGATGAATGGCGTGTATGGTGCTGAGAGCGGTGTTGCGTCATGCCAGTACATGTTGGAGACTTGGCGATACATCATTGTCAAGCTCCAGCCGTCGTACACGCTGTGGTGAGCTGTCCAGACGAGAAGACGTTCACCATTAGGCTCGATGATACCGAAGCGCATGAGAGGTTTGCCTTCGGTCATGCTCAATGCACTATCGCGGTCGATGTATTCTTCGAGCGAAGAAGCAGTGTGCCACTCAAGTGGTTCGTTGACAACAACTTGTACCGAACCAGAGGCAAGACCCAGTAGGATACGGGTTCGCAAAACAGGCGCCGCTTCAGCCATCTTCTGCCAAGCAGCCTGCAGTCTCGCCACATTGATCTCATCACTCAAAGAAAAGATTCTTCGACTGGTATACGCCGTCGGTTGCCGAGCAGTCGCAATCAGCAATCCTTCTTGAAGTGGCGTGCAAGGATAAACATCCTCAATCTGCTCGGCCATGACTCCGCACCGCTCCGCAATGTCGGCACGGAGACCCACTTCTTTCTCGGAGCCGTGTTCGGGCCAGAGAGAAAATGGCGCCGGGATTGACGCCAGCGATGATTGGTCGTGGCCCTCAGCCATTCGTGAGTCAAGAATGCTGGCGAGTTCAGAAAGACGAGGGTGTTCGAAGATGTCGGCGACGCGGAGGAGCATGTTTGTGCTGCGCGATGCCTCGACGAGTCGCATCGCGGTGATGGAGTCGCCGCCGAGATGGAAGAAGCTGTCTTTGGCTCCGACGGTGTTGGCTGGTCTTCCGAGAACGCTGGCCCAGAGCTGTTGGAGCTGTCGTTCGGTCTCGGTAGATACATCTGCTTTAGCTGCTGCATTGGGGCGGTAAATGTCTAGCTCTTCTGGCTTCATACCCTTCAGGAACAAGTCAATTGCTCGACGATCAAGTTTTCCTGAAGAGTTGAGAGGCAATCGCGACATGGGGATGAAGATATCCGGGACCATGTATCGCGGCAGAACAGAAATGAGATGGCCTCGAACTTCCTCGAATGACTCTCGCATGGTGATGGTAGGCTCCAGTAAATCAGCCTGCGACAAGCCCTGTAGATTATTATCCACAGCGCTATTCTCCCCGCCATCGGCAATTTCTAGCGCTACAGCCAGCACTGAAGATTGACCAGCAGGACCATCGAGAAGCATAACAGTGGCTTGAGAGATCTCAGGCGCTGAGCGCACAACCCAGTATTCAATCTCGCCAAATTCAACACGTTGGCCACGGATCTTGATCTGTGTGTCTCTACGTCCAAGGGTTGTGTACGACCCGTCGCTGTTCTGTCGGACAAGATCGCCTGTTCGGTACATCCTTCTTCCAGGCTGAAGACCATGATGCTTGGTGAAGTCAAGGTCAATCAGGAATGATTTCGCCGTCTTGACTTCGTCGCCGAGATACCCGCGTGCCAAGAGTGGTCCCTCGATAAGTAACTCACCAGGAGCACCGATGGGCACAAGGCGGTTGAAGTCCTTTGGATCGACGACCCAGAAGCAGCTGGCGAGTGGGACACCCAGCACGGGAACTTGGCTGATGTGCCTCATGGGTCTCGGGGAAACGGTTGCGTAAATGGAACATTCTGAGGGTGCATATGACTCCAACACGATAGCTTGGTCTTTCCACAGGTCCATGACTGCTGGCTTGACGGGCTCTCCCATGAGGATAACTGTTTTGACGAGAGGGAGCTGCGCGGGGTCCAACAGGCCTGCGACTGTCGAGGTGAGAGATAAGAAGTTGACCTCTGCTTTGGCGATGAAGGCCTGTAAGTGGTTGATGCGCTCGTCTTCGGAGGGAATACAAGTACATCCGCCCTGACAGAGCGTTGTGAACACCTCTTGAATGGTGACGTCAAAGGTATGTGACGCGAATTGAAGAACCCTTGATCCATCGCGCACACCGAACGCGTCGCCGTGGGAGCGGATGCTAGAGCATAGAGCTGAGTGCTGAAGAACGACACCCTTGGGTGTTCCTGTACTTCCGGACGTGTAGACTACCCAAGCGGCGTTGTCGGTGGTGACGGTAGAGCAGACTGCTGAGCTAGGCTTGAGCGTTTCTTGAAGTGCGGCGTCGACTTTGATTAGACGAGGACCTGTTTCTGCAAGACGCTCGAGTTGTTTGTCGTCGACTAGGATGATTGGGGCCTTGGTATCGGTGATGATAGTCTGTACTCGGGGCAACGGCTGCTGCACGCCCATGGGTAGCACAACACCACCTGCTTTGAGCACAGCCAACATCGCAACTACAGCCCAGCGGGACTTATCCATGCATATACCAACCGTGATTTCTGGTCCGACACCAAGATCCATGAGAAAACCGGCGAGATTGCCAGCGGCGACTTCCAGCTCTCGGAAGGTCATGACGCCGTCCCATGCGTAGACGGCCATCCCATCTGGTCGACGCTCGTAAACCTCGTAGAATAAAGCGTGGATGGTTGAAGCCACGGGAGCTGGGACATCTCTGTTCTTAGCGACGATAGCGTGCTTCTCCTCCGTTGGGACGAGGTCCAGATCAGCGAGGGTGGAAGTTGTGTGCTGGCTGAGGACTTGGAGGACATGCTTGAGCTGGTTGAGCAGACGCTGCGCGACTTCGTGGCTTGAGACACCGGGGATGTATTGAAGAACCAGATCGAGACTATGGTCGTTCTCCAGGATGCTCAGGTTGAAGTCGTACTCCGTTGATTCATCGGCCGATGCACGCTCAAGCTTGATAGAGTTGTTCTCTGTCGTACCGTCCATGTTTAGTACGCGAGTGTATGAAACGGTGGTGTTGAAGAGCGTTTGCTGTTGCGTTCCTTGGAGAGAGTGTTGGATTGAGGCTAGAGAAGCGCGCTGGTGATCAAAGCCTTTGAAGAACCGGTCTTGGATCTGTCGGATAACATCAACAGTCGTGGAGGTGTAGTCCAGTTGAACATAACAGATCATCATGTTGATCATAGGTCCCACGAGTCTTTCAACACCCTCGATGGGAATGTCACGACCGCTGGAAAGATAGCCAAAGCAGATCTGGTTCAATTCCACACGTGAGGCTAATACCAAAGCCCAAGCTAATTGAGCTACGTTCGCAGCAGTGACGTTGTAGTTGCGACACATGTCGCGAAGGACGGAGACATCGGAGATGTGAGCTGTGACGGCATGGCCTGTTTCCATCTCGGAGGTGTCGTGGTGTTGCTGGCCGAGTTGGAGATGGCATGGCTCGGCAGACTCGAGAAGATCTTTCCAGTACTGAAGATCTTCTTGTTCGGATTGTCGGTGTTGCTCGAGGAAGGAGACGTAGCTGCTGTAGTTCGAGCTGCGAGATAGAGAGATTGATGTCTTCTTGGGGGAAAGAGACTCGTAGGCCTCAAGTAGGTCGTTCACGAGGAGCTGGACGGAAGAAGCATCAACGAGAGCGTGGCTGATCTCGAAATGACCGAAGACATGTCCATCGACGGTAGGAATGATAAGGAAGCGGTGCGAAGGACGGCCAATGGGGTCATGAAGTAGGGCGTGGTGTTTGATGAAGCGCTGGACTTCTTCATCGCTGGAACAAGGCTCGATGGTCTGAATGTCAGCTTCCAAAGCCTTGAGAACGACCTGGTAGAAGCGGTCGTGGTGCGACAATGCGCCAGTGAAGATGGTTCGCATGATGGAATGCTGTCCGACGACCTGTTGCCAGGCATTTGCAAGTCGTGAAATGTCGACGGGTGAAGATGGATCGGCAGGGAGAATGCGGCAGGTCTGCTTGAGACGGTATCGAGATGGGGCTCTGAGTTGACTGAGAAGAATACCTTGTTGAATGGGCGAACAAGGAAGAACGTTCTCGACATTGGCCCACGAGAGGGAACCTGGCGTGAGACAGTGCTGATACAGCGTGTCAAGGTCGTCGTTGGTTAGTTGAGCGAGAGGGAAGTCACTGATCGTGCACATCGGCTCAGCGGCAGCAAGCTCCTGAACACCCTGCGCGATAGCACGAGCATACTCCCCAAGCCAGTCACGAATGGCCTGACTCTTGGGACTATGGCGAGGATATCCAACCACGAGATGAGTCTTGCCCGCATCGTCAATTGACACTTCAATGCTGAGAACAGCATGTTGACGGACTTTCCCACCAACAGAAGCATCAAGTTGACCTACAGATTGATGAAGCTTGTCGAGAGTTAGAAGACCGTCTGAGCGCTGAAGTTGCTGGAATTGACCGTGGTAATTGAAGAGGACTTCAATAGGTCTAGAGCGATGGGCTGCAAAGTCGAGGACTTCACGGCCGGAGTTGAGTTTGCGAACATCCTTGACTTGGCGAAGGGTGGAGATGAAGTTGGTATCGTCGGAGATGTTAAGAGGCGTGACGGTTGTGATCCATCCCACTGTGTCAGAGAGATCGTAGTTGATGTCCAGAGCTTGAGTATCGCGACCGTGGCCTTCGATGAAGATCGATGGACCGGTACGGTCGGTGAAAGAGTGGAGGAAAGATGTTGATAGGGCAGCGAGGAGGATATCTGCGACACCAGATCGTAAAGGCTCGTTGGCGGGACCCAGAAGTTGACAAGTAACTTGCTCATCCAATTGAACAATCTCAAAAACCTGATCTTCTGTGATGTACTCGCCCGGCTGAAGACCCCAGTAAGACCAAGAAGACGTAGTGTCCGCATCAGCAACATGATCGATTGGTTTGGCTTGCTGGAGCACGGCGTTGCTCCATGTCGGGAATGGAAGAGACTGCGACGTAACCATGGAACCACTCTGGAGACTCTGCTCCAAGTCCTTGGCGATGATTCGCCATGACATGAGGTCAATGACGAGATGATGAGCGGTCAGGAAGAGCAGCTGGCGATCTGGCGTTTGGATGAGCTCAGTTGCAAAGACAGGGCCGTGTTCGAGATTGAGGGTGCTCTGTGACTCGAGCATGATCGCTTGCACGGCGGTATTATCGGCGGCGTCGTGAGACTTGAACCTGTATGAACCTGGGACGTGTTTCTCAATCCACTGCTGGTATCCATGCTCTTGAGATACGAAGCGTGAGCGGAGCATAGCGTGCTTTGTCACAACAGCCTCAATAGCCTTAGCGACGGTCTCCTCCCTGATGCCCTCAGATTGAAGACGGAAGCAAACACTCTGATTGAACCGATAAGATCCCTCAGAGTTGAGTCCAGCGGGAGCAATGTCCTCAAAGAACATCTTCTGAGCAGGCGACAGCTCAAAAGGACCATCTGGGATCTCAGCGGAGAACACCTCACCATCACTAGCCTTGACACGTGTCTCAAGGTCAGATATAGCAGGGCTCTGAAGAATGTCGCGAACAGTAACAACCAGTCCGATCTCTCGGCACGCAGAGACGACTTGCATAGCAGTGATGGAGTCACCACCCAGCGACATGAAGGACCGTCTGTAGCTGACGTTGGGGACGTTGAGAACTGAGCCCCAGATCTGGCGAAGCTTCTGTTCGGTGGGTGTGACGTTGAGAGAAGCCTCTTCGGCAGCGCTTTCGAGCTCAGAGTATGAGGCTAGCTCTGTTGGGCCGAGACTGCTGATCCACTCGGTGACAGCTCGGCGATCAGCTTTGCCGGAGGAGTTGATGGGGAGGGTGGTCATTGGGATCCAAAGACGAGGAATCATGTAGTCGGGGATGTGTTGGGACAGATACATCTGGATCTCGGATGCGAGTAGTAGTGCAGCTGTTGTTTCGATTCCGTCACGGCCTGCGATGCCGTTGTACGCTGTTTCATCATGCGCAGCTTTATCATCATGGGGAACGCTGAATGCTGTGACGAGTTGACCATCGCTGGATCCTCTGGTAGTAAAGACGACACAGGCGCGAATGCCAGAGGAATGACGTGAGATGTGATACTCGATCTCGCCGACTTCAACACGCTTGCCGCGGATCTTGATCTGTTGGTCACGTCGGCCCAAGTTGGAGTATGTACCATCGTCGTTTTGTCGCACCAAGTCACCGGCGCGATACATACGACGACCCGTAGACTCAATACCAAGATGGGCAAGGAAAGCAGGATCTGTGATGAAAGAATTGGCGGTCTTGGTGGCGTCGTTGAGATACTCGCGTGCAAGGTGAGGGCCTTCAATGAGGAGTTCACCTGGTACACCAACAGGACACAGCTTGTTGTAGTCGCGGTAGTCAACGACCCAGAAGCGGCACGACTCTAAAGGTGTACCCAAGATCATGGCCTGGCGACGATCTGTCATTGGTTCAGGGGAGATGGCGCTTTGGATGCTGCACTCGGATGGTCCGTATGCATCCAAGCATGCAGCCTGCGGCATCCAGAGATCCAAGACTGAAGGCGTGACTGGCTCACCAATCAGGATGAGGGTCTTGACTAGCGGCATCTTGGAAGGCGACAATAGACCAGCGACTGTTGAGGTGAGGGAGACGAAGTTGACGTCCATTGACACGATGCATCCCTCCAGATCATTGAGACGCTCCTCCTCTGATGGTATACACACACAGCCTCCGTAATAAAGCGTCGTAAACGTCTCCTGTATAGTAACATCAAAAGTGTACGCAGCAAACTGCAGGACACGAGACGAAGGAACAAGGCTGAAAGCCGCACCGTGAGATCGCATACTAGTACACAGCGCATAGTGCTGCAGCACAACACCCTTCGGCACACCAGTGCTTCCAGAAGTGTACACGACCCAAGCTGCATTATCTGGCTGCACAGCGGGATTGGAGAACCCGAATTCAGCGGGGACAAGACCATCCATGAACTGGCGATCGACCTCAATGAGCTCAGAGTCAACACCAGCCAGACGAGCCTTCTGCTTCGCGTCCACGAGGATAACTGAGGCCTGTGTATCTTTGAGGATAGTCTGAAGTCGAGAGAGAGGCTGCTGGACGCCTAAGGGTAGAACGACACCGCCGGCTTTGAGGACTGCGAGCATTGACATGGCTGCCCAGATGGACTTATCCATGCAGATACCGACCATGACTTCAGGTCCAACGTTGAGATTTGTCACGAGGTGCTTGGCTAGAGTGCTAGCGGCGTGGCCGAGTTCGCGATAGGTCATTGAGCCGTCCCATGCGTGGAAGGCGACAGTGCTGGGTTGGCGGTTGGTCATTTCCTGCACGAGGAGATGGACGCAGGAGTCAAGAGACTTGGGGACTTGGCGGTTAATGGCGGTAATGAGCTGCTTATCTTCTGCGGCGACGAGATCGAGATCACCGAGGATAGAAGTAGTGTCGCTAGTGCTAAGGACCTGCACAACATGCTTGAGATGATTGAGAAGACGCTGGGCTGTCTTTGTGGAAGCGGCGCCGGGGAGGTACTGCAGTGCGATGTCGATGCCGCTCTCGGTCTCCAACATGCTGAGGTTGAAGTCATACTCGGTAGACTCATCAGCTGCGATCCTCTCCAAGCGGATGGACTGGATATTGCGCGCTCCACCGCTCAGATCGGGAGCCCTGACGTAAGAAACAGTCGTGTTGAAGAGGGATTGCTGTGAACTCGACAGCGAATGCTGAATAGTCGCCAAAGACACGCGCTGATGCTCAAAGCTATCAAGGAAGCGATCCTGTATATCCTTCATGGCATCGACACAGTTTTGGGAATGGTCCAGCGCAATGTTGCACACGATCATGTTGATCATCGGTCCAACGAGTGTATCTGCCCCGTCGATGGGAATGTCACGGCCGCTGGAGAGATAGCCGAAACAGACCTCATCGAGCTGTGTGCGGGAGGAAAGGACGAGAGCCCAGGCGAGTTGGAGGACGTTGGCGGGAGTGATGTTGTTGGATTGGCAGAGCTTCTGGAGGGCCGTCATGTCATGCATTGCGGTAGACACTGAGTGGCCCACGTCTTCCTCGGCGGTGGTGAGATCCTCGCCGAGTTGGAGCTGGCAGGGTTCAACGGTCGCAAGTCGCTTCTCCCAGTAGCGCAAGTCATCTTCCTCGGAGCCCTGTTCCAAGAACGAGATGTAAGTGCCGTAGTCAGAGCCAGAAATATTTGCAACGCCTTCATAAGCTTGTAGAAGGGTGTTGACAAGGAGTTGGACAGATGATGCGTCAACCAGAGCATGGCTGATCTCAAAGTGTCCGTAGACATGGCCATCTTCTGTTGAGATGACCAAGAAGCGATGGGACGGTCGACCAAGATGATCTTCCATCAGCGCATGGCTTGCGATGCATTCGTGCACATCCTCCTCAGAAAAGCAGGTGATAAAGCGGATGTCGGGCTCAACGGACTTGAGAACAACTTGGTAGAAACGATCGTTGAAAGGAATCATGGTGAAGATGGTGCGCATGATGGAGTGATTGCTGACGACTTGTCGCCAGGCATCCCCAAGTCTCTTGACATCAACACCATCAGAGGCGGTGGGTATGACGCGACATGTCTGTCTCAATCGGTATGTAGTAGGCGACTTCAACTGACTGATGAAGATACCCTGCTGTGTAGACGAACAAGGCAGGATATCCTCAACAGCATCCCAGGCAATGTTAGTTGGTTCAAGAATATGTTTCTTCAGCGCAACAAGGTCGGCGCTGCTCAAATGCGAAAGCGGATAGTCGCTTGCTGTAGCCGTCCGTTCTGTACTCATTAGTTCACTTACCGCGGAGGCGATAACCTCTCCATAGCGCTGTAACCATCGTCGCACGGCATTGCCCTTTGGCGTGCTACGGCTGAAACCTACACTAATACAAACACGTCCAGCTTCGACGGATACTTCGATTGTGATGGCGGCTTGTTGGCGTACTTTGTCGCCGATTGAAGTTTCGGACGGATGAAGCTTGTGGATGCTGAGAAGACCGTCTGCGCGATCCAGTTGTTGGAATTGGCCGTGGTAGTTGAAGAGGATCTCAATGTGGTTCTGGGAAGACGTCTTTGGAGTGTTGTACTTGGCTGCGAACTCGATGGCTTTGGTATCGGCGTTGAGTTTGCGGAAGTCTTTGACTTGTTGGAGGATGGGGATGAAGCCAGTGCTGGTGTCTGTGACTTTGAGAGGGGTTACGGTGGTGAACCAACCGACTGTCTCAGACACATCACCGCCGGCATCTCGACCATGACCTTCAACGTGGATAGTCGGTGCTGATCGGTCGGCAAAGACTTCCGCAAAAGACTGATGTAGAGCAGCGAGAAGAATATCCGTAACACCTGTCTGCAGCGACTCATTCGCGGGACCCAGCAATTGAGCGCTGGTGTCTGCGCCGATAGCTAGAGTTTCAACGATCTGGTCTTCGCGAACAAAGGAGCCAGGCTCGAGGTTCCAGTAAGACCAGGACCCGACGTCGCTCTCCTCAGGCACCACAACAGCCTTGGCCTGGTTCATAAGAGCCTTGGACCAAGTAGGGAAGGGCAGCGACAGAGAAGGCTGCAGTGTCTCAAAGCGCAGGAAATGCTCCAGATCAGCTGCGAGGATTCTCCAAGACATGAGATCAATTACAAGATGGTGCGCAGTCAGATTGACCAGCTGAGCCTCTTCCATTTCGAAGACATCAACAGCGAAAACAGGTCCGTACTCAAGATCCAAGGACCCTTGTGAGTGACGTATAATATCCTCTGTCGCAGCATCGTCGGCCGCCTTGTGCGTCTGGAACCGGTAAGATCCCATGATCTGCTTCTCGACGCGCTGTTGCCAGCCCTGGCTGACTTGATCACTCTGGAAGCGCGCACGAAGCATAGCATACTTGGTGACAATGGCCTCGATCGCACGAGCGACAGTATTAGCCGCAACATCCTGAGGAATGCGGAAGCAGACGCTCTGGTTGAAGCGATGAGGTCCATCTGCTCGAAGACCCGAGGGCGCAATGTCTTGGAAGAACATCTTCTGCGCGGGTGAGAGACCAAATGGCTCATCGGGGATCTCGATGGGCAGTTGCTCGTCGCCCATCTTGTCGCTTGCCTCTTTGACTCGGAGCGCAAGCTCGGAAATAGCTGGGCTCTGCAGGATTTGTCGCACGGTTACGATGAGGCCTTGCTTGCGACAGGCTGAAACAACCTGCATTGCTGTGATGGAGTCACCGCCGAGAGAGAGGAATGAACGACGGTAGCTGATGTGGTTTATGGGCTTGTTCAGGACGTTACTCCAGATCTCGCGCAGCTGTCGCTCCGTGGATGATACGTGAAGACCATCTTCGACTTGGTGCTCGAGGTCAGAGTAGGCAGAGAGGTCCAGGTTCTTGATCCACTCGGAAATGCGACGTCGATCAGCTTTGCCGGATGAGTTGATAGGCAAGCTGGCCATGGGAATCCATAGTCGAGGGATCATGTAATCAGGAACATACTGAGACAGGTAAAGCTGGACCTCAGAAGCGACGAGCATAGCAGCTGGTTTGTCTACAGCGTTCTCTCCATCCAGCGCTGCACCGCTATACGCAGCACCATCGCTGGGAAGACTGAACGCAGCGACAAGCTGACCGTGGACATACAGAACAACAGCCTGGATAGAGGAAGGGTGACGGGTGATGTGATACTCAATCTCATCAACCTCGACTCTCTGTCCACGGATCTTGATCTGCGTATCCTGTCGGCCTAGCGTCGTGTAAGACCCATCATCATTCTGCCTCACCAAATCACCCGTCTTATACATCCGTCTATTCCTCCCAAGGTCATACTTGCCCACAAACTCGGGATCGACAATGAACGACTTGTTCGTCTTGACCTCATCGTTCAAATACCCCCTCGCAAGAAGCGGGCCTTCGATGAGGAGTTCTCCCGGCGCGCCAATTGGACACAGACGATTATAGTTCTTGGGATCAACGACCCAGAAACAACTCGCGAGCGGGATGCCGAGAACAGAGACCTGAGAGATGTGCTTCATTGGTTGGGGGGATACAGTAGCGTAGATACTACACTCAGATGGGGCGTAGGATTCGAGAACGGAGGCTTGGTCTTTCCAGAGATCGAGAACAGCGGGCTTGACGGGTTCGCCCATGAGGATCACGGTCTTGATCAATGGAAGTTGGGAGGGGTCGAGAAGACCGGCGACGGTGGACGTCAGCGATAGGAAGTCCACTTTGGCGGAGGAGATGAAGGCTTGGAGACGGTTGACGCGATCATCTTCTGATGGCACGCAGACGCAGCCTCCCATACACAACGTCGTAAAGACCTCTTGGATCGTCACGTCAAACGTATGAGAAGCGAATTGAAGTACGCGCGCACCCTTGACGCCAAAGGCAGTTCCATGCGATGTTATGCTCGTGCAAAGCGCAGAGTGTTGCAAGACGACTCCCTTTGGTGTACCTGTGCTACCGGACGTGTACACGACCCAAGCAGCGTTGTCTGTAGAAACAGTGGCACAAGCCGAGCGAGAAGCTGAGGGGAGGGTTTGGAAAAGGGCTTCATTGACCTCGATGAGTTGTTGGGGACCTAGGTCCTTGAGGCGATTGAGCTGAGCGTTGTCAACGAGGATGATGGGGGCTTTTGTGTCGGAGAGGATAGTTTGGAGACGAGAAAGTGGTTGATCTGCGCCGAGGGGGAGAACGATTCCACCGGACTTTAGAACAGCGAGCATAGAGACAGTCGCCCACCGCGACTTGTCCATACAAATGCCTACCATAACCTCCGGTCCAATGTTCATCTTCATAAGGTGTTCTGCAAGACTACTTGCCGCAGCATCAAGTTCTCGGTACGTCATGGTTCCATCCCAGGCACACACCGCCATGGCATCAGGCTGACGGTCTGTAACCTCTTGAACGAGGGTGTGTATACATGAAGCAACGGGCTTTCGGCCTTCACCATTGACGTCACGCAGATGCTGGGCGTCTTTGGAGGAGATGCCGTCGAAGGAATTGACTTGAGCAGATGGGTTGGCGATGATGAAGCGGATTGCTTCGAGGAAGCAGTTTAGCATCTTGGCTGCGTCTGCTTGGGAGGTCGTTGATGTCCAGATGTCGTAGTCAACTGCGATGCCACCTTCGCCGATCTCGACATTGATGGAGTGATCATACTGCCTCGTGTTAGCATCTTGCTGCGGAATGAAGTATCGGCGTAGGGGACTTACATCTGTAGGGCTGACTCCTCGTAAGAAGCTCATCTCAAGCTCTTTGTGCCCAGTAGACTTGGGCTTCCACTCCTTTCGGAACGAAAGAATTGAGTTTCCCCATTTGTGGCTCGTAGGAAGCTTAGCTCCCTTTGCCATCAACGGGACCTTGTCGTGTGCCATTCCTCGGAAGACGTCGTCTGTCACAGTCTTGAGCATGTCCAGGACTGTAGGGTCATCTTTGAACTTGACCCGCAGTAATAGACTGCTGATGAACAGGCCGATCGCTCCATCAATTCCAGGCAGATCCGTCTGTCTACCAGAATTGACGTAGGAAAAGGTAACGTCGTCTTTCATGGCAAAGAGACGAAGAACGATACTCCAAGCGACTTGACAGACACTTACGAGGGTAACGCCGTAAGCATCGCAGAAGCGACGAGCTTCGTCAGCAGGAATGTCAACACGATCTTGAAGCGTGTGAAGGCCGGCTTTTGGCTTGTTACCGCTTGCAAGATACGTCTCCTCAGCATCACGTAGGTAATTCTGCCAGTAATCCGCAATGCGCTCAACGTCTTGGAAGCTCTCCTCCTCCATGCGCACAAAGTCTGTGTAAGGCATGGCTTTTGTGTCGGGAAGTTGGTTCTCATATGCTGCGCAGAGGTCGTAGAGGAGAACATCTGCAGAGCGGCCGTCAATGACGGCGTGTGAGACTTCAAGTCTCAGGATGAGTTCTGAGGAGGATGCGGCGTAGATGTACATGTGATGGGGAACACTTCCGCTCTCAAAAGCGTTCAGCATTCCGTCGGCTTTGACTTGGGCTTCGTCATGGAGGATGGTGACTTTGGGGTTGACTTCTGTCCAGACAACTTGATCAAACGTTGACTGACGAGTCTCACTCTCGAGAAATGTAGTTCGCAGACTTGAATGGCGCGCAACAATGCGAGGCCAAGCGTTTGCGATATGTGAAGCGGTCAAAGAATCTGGTACGCTTGACTTGATACTGAGAATGAATCGGCACTGGTAGGCAGCCGGGTTAACAGCCTGACTGATAAGGATACGATTCTGCATAGACGAGCAAGGACCGATACTCTCGATCTGCCTCGCAGGATCCTGAGCAAGTTGCTTCAACCGCGCATCGGGAACAGTATCAGTGCTATCAGACCCCGTAGCAGAAGCAGCATCATCAGAGCTTGATGAAGACGTGCTCGTATCACTGTTCCCAATGCGATCATTGAGGATGAGATTGTGTGGATTGCTCTCATGCTTGGAGATGATGCGTTCAACAAGCTCAGCAAGCGTCTTGCACTGCACCGTATCCACGATATCAATGTGAATACCACGCAGACGACATTTACTAAGGAACTGAACGGCCGAGAGGGAGTCTCCACCCTGCACGAGGAATGATTGGTCGAGGTTCAACTCCTCGGTGCTGATGTGCAGCGCATTGGCGAGTTCAAGGTGCAGAATATCCTGCATAACGTCGGTGTGAGCCATTGTGCTGCAGTGCAAAGAATGAAAACTATTGGGGGAAGGGTATATTGGGTATAATGATTGCGTTTACGAAAACTACATTGCTTGAGAATCATGTTCAACTATATGATGCTGTAACGTGCATGATAAGCGAGTGCTCCAGACAAGCGAGTGCTCCACCAATCTACACGTGAAGACTCAGAAAGAGAAATAAAACACCACAACATATCTGATCAATTAAAATTAATCGCTAGACTATTCCCTATTAACCTCAATTGACTCTTGACAGGTCCTTGCAGTATGCCCGGTCTTTCCGCAAATACTACATCGCCGAGGCTTTGATCCTTGTGACCTT